CATAGGGAGTAAATTTCCACAGGAATTCTGCTGGAGATGTAAACATTCAAACAGTAGCAAGTATAGTTAGATCTTCTTGTTGTTTCAAAAGAGTTAAAAATGCTAACTTGTTAAGACTTTAATGAGTAAATCAGGTACACTCTAAAATACAGGGAAGTAATGAAAGAATATTCTAAGCATATTAAATAAGCATATCTTATTTACTGTGAAAAGATAACAAAACTAACAAAAGTAAAAAAGTAGAACTTAAAATTGGTACTATCCAATTAAAATTAAATAAGAACTATATTTATATCCAATAAGGTATTTATATACAAAAGACATGTATAAAAACAATTATACTTAAATATTGGTATTCTATTGAATATAAACTAAATGTTAATGTACCATTCAATCCAGAATCTCAACTATTGCATATTTACCAAAAAGAAAAGAAGAGTTTTCATCAAAAAGACATTTGTGCTAGAATTTTATTATAGCACAATTGACAATTGCAAGGATGTAGAGTCAACACAAGTGCCTATCAATTTATGAGTAGATTAACAAAATGTTGTATGTATATTATATATGACATATATATAATATATGTTATATATTATTCTTTCTCTCTCTATGTATACATATGCACACACACACACACACCATGGAGTACTACTCAGTCATAAAATGGTGAGTTAATATCTTATGAAACAATCTGAATGGAACTGCAGACCATTTTCCTAAGTGAAGTATCTGAAGAATGGCAAAACAAACACCACATTACTGAATGGAACTGCAGACCACTTCCTAAGTGAAGTATCTCAAGAATGGCAAAACAAACACCACAGTACAAACACCACATGTACTCACTATTAAATTGGAGCTAATTGGTGAGCACACATGTGCACAAGGGAAGTAAAATTCAATGAAAATCCACAAGGAGGAAAGAGGGAGTAGGGAGACAGAAAAACCTACCTCATGGGTATAGTGAATACTATTGGGGTGACAAACAAATAAAGGTAGAAGGAAGTCATTTTATAAAAGGTCATGTGCCCTGAAATGTTTATTGCAGCACAATTCACAATTACAAAAATGTAAAATCAACCTATGTGCACATCAATTTATTCTTGCATAAAGAAAATATGGTATATTGAATATATACCATGAATTACTATGCAGTCATAAAAATGAATGAAATAATGTTTTTTGCATCCACTTAGATGAACTGGAGACTATTATTCTAAAGTGAAGTAGCTCAGAAATAGATAACCAAACACAGTGTGTTCTCATTAATCATTCAAAACCAAGAATGGGGAAGGGTGGGAGACTGAAGAATATCTATGGAGTGCAATAAATATTACTCTGGTTACAGGCACACCAAAAGACCTACTCAAACATGATACAAGATATCCAGATAACAAAAAATTTGTTCTTCCTTAATAATTTGATAATTATTAATTTTAAAAATTAAAAGAAAAGGGGCAGCACCTGTGGCTCAAAGGAGTA